CGATAATAAAAATTAATTAAAAATTTAAAAACTCATTAAAACTAATTAAAAAATACATTAAAATTACGTAACTAGGTCAAAAATTAATTAAAATTTTAAAAACTCATTAAAACTAATTAAAAAACTCATTAAAATTACGTAAGTAAGTCAATGATGACGTCACAAGGTCAATGATTACGTCACAAGGTCACCAAAAGGTGACCTACTGACCTACTTCCCCACCTGCTCACCCACCCTAGGGTGGGTGAGTATTTTACTATATGTCGTTGTACCAGGCTGCGCATCCTGCTCACCCACCCTCACCCAGGTGGGTGAGTATTTTACTATATCCCATTGTACCAGGCTGCGCCACCTGCTCACCCACCTTCACCCAGATGGATGAGTATTTTACTATATGTCGGTGTACCTCCACCTCCCCCAGGGAGTATTTTACTATATCTCGTTGTACCAGGCTGCGGCAGGCTGCGCCTGGTGGGTGAGTATTTTGCTATATGTCATTGTACCAGGCTGGGGGAGTATTTTCCTATATATCCTTTGCTCCTGCTCCTGCTCCACCTCCTGCTCACCCATGGCTCCTTCACCCAGCGCCTGCGCCTGCGGTCCAAAAGTGACCTAATATACTACTTGTGTGTAGTTTAATTTCACAGCTAACTTAAACAATTTGCAGAAGTCGGTTAACCATATATGTATGTAAATATATAAAGAGCGTATAAAGTAGAAAAAGGAAAGTTTGTGGCGATCATTTCTTTGTGCAAGTGTCGCTATCATAATGGTAACTTTAACCCATATACTAACTCTTACTTTAGTCTTAAACTTAACCCTATTAACGATTGTTACTGACCAAAACGAAAACATGATAAATATATTTTAACTTGTATTTTCAATGGTTTTATAATAACGTATTAAATCTTTTTTTTCAGAATTTTTTCTCCGCCTGGGGGGGGGGGGTGTTCCTGGGGGGGGGGCGCACTTTATATAATGGAGGAAGGTGTGCATCTATCCATCTCACATTCCCTGGGAAAAAATGCCTGAAAGAAACTCTGCGACCAACTCCAATCCGGTTCTAGTAATATTGTGTTTACTTGCTGAAAAATCTTAACCACACATGCCAATGTTTGCGAAAGCGTTTCGGGACTGAAATTTTTAATCCGTGAAACTGAAAAACTGGCCGTGATGTACTATATAACCTACGCCTTTCATCTCGCTAAAATTCCCACAAAAATTACTTGAACGAAGCTATTTTTTCTGGTATCGCTTTTCTAACCGTATCCCTAACCCATACCCTTGTCCAGATCTAGCCAGTGCTCCTACTATGACCCTAAAACTAAAAGCGATACCATCAACATATAAAAAAAACCTACATACAATAGGCCTACTCCATAACCAAAAGGTTCTATGACCCTAAAAGCGACACCATCAACATATTAAAAAAAACCTACATACAATACTACATAACCAAAAGGTTTGCTAACATTTAATATGCTTCTCTGAGTTTTTACTGCATGGAGTAATTTAATTCCCATCAAATGCGAACATTGTTTACTTTCCGTGGTTTTTATTGTAAATCGCGTTCTCCGATTTTTTTCTGAGTTATATAAACATCTAGATGTCTAGGGGGAATTCGTACGTACATCGAGCTAAATATAGACGTTTTAAAATAGATCTGACGTAAACGCTCGATTCTATAAGTACTTTTACTACAGGACCTATTTGGCTTATTATGAAACTAAAGACATTGCTTATAAGAAAAAATAATCGATCAAAGGTACATGTCCTTTAGAAGAACAAGCAAGCATTCTGACTAATGATTGTAGTTAATTACCACTGAAGTTGTACTTTCGGTTTGCCGCACTTCCTTAATTAATTACTGGTAATCAAAAGTACATTATCGCTAATTATCAGGAATGAACTTTGAGAATAACTGCATAGCTGCTCTGTGAGTTTCATAATCTTGATTGGCGAACTGAAATTGTTATTTTAGTTTAGAAACTTTGCAACTGAAACGGTGCATCGTAATAATAATACTAAACAGCTTACTTTAATTAAACGTTGTCTATGTTTTCTTTGTATAGGAAGTACTTTTTATCACCATGCTATAAAATTAATAAGCAATTGAGTTTTGTTTCTTATTATCACTACTATCGTCGGCTGGTCCAATGTAGAATAGTCCACACACACACACACACACACACACACACACACCACACACCACACCACACACCACACACACATGGTCCATGCAGCATTGACTAGGTTTCTGAATCTCTCTCTCCCTACAAACACACGCACACACACACACACACAAACACACACATACACACACACACCGCAAATACAAGAAACTCCCCGAAATTGTTGAAAATTCCAAAACATAAGTTGAGATTCCTTTTCAAATGTTTTGGTTGCGTTTTTACACATCGACTGAAATATACTTTAACTAGTTAGGTTAGCATTGTGGTTAGTTGCAGATATTCTGTTTAACTGGTTAGTTTCAAAGTTTCTGCTTAGGGTTAGCATTTAGGTTCAGAGATTTTGCTTAGGGTTAGCATTTAGGTTCAGAGTTTCTGCTTAGGGTTAGCATTTAGGTTCAGAGTTTCTGCTTAGGGTTAGCATTTAGGTTCAGAGTTTCTGCTTAGGTTTAGCATTTAGGTTCAGAGTTTCTGCTTAGGGTTAGCATTTAGGTTCAGTGTTTCTGCTTAGGGTTAGCATTTAGGTTCAGAGTTTCTGCTTAGGGTTAGCATTTAGGTTCAGAGTTTCTGCTTAGGGTTAGCATTTAGGTTCTGAGTTTCTGCTTAGGGTTAGCATTTAGGTTCAGAGTTTCTGCTTAGGGTTAGCATTTTTTTGTTAGGTTCAGAGTTTCTGCTTAGCGATATGCAAAATCCGCATGGTTTGTTTATTTGTTTTTATGACATGTGAAATCACATTTACTTTAGCCTTACTCTCTTCTGTTTCTTCTTATTTCATTCTGCTCACTTATCTTTACAACTACCCCCCCTCCCTCAAGGTTTCCTCTCACCCACCCCCCTCCTCAACCAACAACCCCCAGCATACGTTAATCCAAAACCAGTGGTCTGAAACTCTGAAACTATCCAGAATGCACTATTTCATTTTCAGTTTCGAACATAGCCGCTTGGCTTCAAGGCAATCGCCCTGTCTGAGTGGTTTGGTCTGTTGACCTGGCACCACGCCAGGTGCTCCAGGGCTACATTCGGGGTAGACCAAAACAGAAACAGCCCTCTCCTGGAACTTGGTCTGAGACTTGAGATTATTTCTGGAAAGTTCTAACTCGAAATGTTTATACCGAAAGGTGGTGTCAAAAACGATGGTATCGAATAGGTAATGTTGAAGTGATGGTATCGATAAGATGGTTTTGAAAATATGGTGTTGAAAATTGTGATATCGAAAAAATGGTACCGAAATTATGGGACGGAAAGATGGTACCAAAAACGATGGTATCGGTAAAAAAAATGGTATTGAAAACAAGGTATTGAAAAGATAGTACAGAAAAGATAGTACAGAAAAGATGGTATTGAAAAGATAGTACCGAAAAGATGGTATTGAAAAGATGGTACCGAAAAGATGGTACCGAAAAGATGGTATTGAACAGATGGTCCCGAAAAGCTGATAAAATAATACCAAAACAATGTTACCGAAACGATTGGAGCAAATTGACAATACCGTATAGCTGGTAGCGAAAAATGGAACTTCCGATCGCATTGGGGTTATGGCTATGTTTAGATTCAGGATTAATCGTAATGCCAGAGACCGACTTGTGGTCTATCATACGACTATACACATCACTATCACCGAATGTCATACTGTGATATTCCCGTAGACTTTCTATAGAACTAAACTCTGAACCTAGCATATTTACCCTGCACAATTTCCCCTAATTCTCCATTCAGTGTTAACACCCCTCTACATTTTTCCCAAAAATAAACAATCGTTAAAGCTCAAAGGATGAAAAAAATCAGCCCAACAAGTATCTCTCTCATCCTCGCCACTCCACCTAAGCTTGAGAGAGTGCTGAGTTTTCTTAGGAAGTCGGGAGAGGTCGTTGACCCTAAGGCTAAATTTAAGGCACTTCGATTTTAGGATTAACCCCCCCCCCCCCAATCATCGAAACACTGCACTGTGTATGATGTCAAGTAATATTCTAAGGTCTTAAACATTTTACTCTAGGCTATATATATATATATATATATATATATATATATATATATATATATATATATATATATATATATATATATATATATATTTATGTGTGTGTGTGTGTGTGTGTGTGTGTGTGTGTGTGTGTATTTATTTATTTATTTCTATAAATGCATAAGCCTATATATAAATTTTATATATATATATATATATATATATATATATATATATATATATATATATATATATATATATATATATATATATATATATATATATATATATATTGCGTAAACCTATCTCCTCTAAAATCTTTGAATATGATCCGTTTGATGTTGTTTGATTTGTATTCAGTGTTACAATCTTTTTCATCACTCTTATCGGCCTTGCCCACATGACGTACCCAGTTACAACTGTAATATTCGCGCACTACGTAGCAGACGGGAAATTCTATATCGACAAACAGGACCATCCTTGACCACTTGGGTCAGACGTTGAATGGTGCGTGCTGTACTATGTACAAGGATCGAAAATAATCCCCACAAATAACCGCGGCCGTTGCCAACGCGAAATCACCGAAACGTTTGCAACGAGCGAACAGCCACACTGAGTTGTATTTGTGTATGACGTTTGTCGCGAAATTCCTAGAAAAACGTGTCTCGATTTTGATCGGTTTCCAGGAAAAATGAAATTCGGTCGAGGTATTCGAATACAGCCTGTGAATCGATACCGCAGCGTATTGTAGGAAATGTAGAGTTATAAATAAACTATACTTTAGATTTGTTTTATTTTTTTTGTTTCTTTTTTAGAGAACGGGAAAAATATCGACGTTGTTTATTATTAAAACCGGAAGCGGCCTACGGTTTCGTTTTTACGTAGCTAGGTAGGACGTGGTGTATATAAAGTAAGGTAGCCTTTGTGTGGTTAGATGAAGGACGCGTGTTCTAATCTTAACAAGCTGATTTTTTCCAACAGAATTTATTCAAGTGTTAATTAACGAATATCTTACCCGTAAGTTAATTTTTTAATTAGTACAGTTGTCTTATCGAGTGGTACAAATCGACTACCCATACCCAGTTTGTATCGCCGAAGCGATTATTTACCCTTAACCTAACCCTAAATTCTGAACGTTCTTGGGAAAAATAGATAGGCCTAAATATCTTTAAAAGAAATTTGATGTATTTAATAATTTAAATTTGTTTTTTCCCCCGGAAAGAAAAATTAAAGAAATGTGTGTGGGGGGGGGGGGAGTTTTTTGTCTATCTTATAATTTAATGGGACCGAGTAGTCGAACGATAGAGCATACGACTGCTAATCCGAAAGTCGCGAGTTCGAATCCGGGTTCAAAAACGTAGAACATCTCTGAGTCCGGCCAGCTCTGATGGGTACCTAACTCACGTTAGGGAGAGTAAAGACGGCTGGGCATAGTGCTGACCACATTATCTCTTCATATGCCGAGGTCACAGAAACAGGTGAACTCTACCTCACTAGCTCCATAGACCATCAGGTTCGAATGGAAACTTTACTATAATTTAATATATTTTAAAAATTTTAGCTCGTTAAAAAATAACTAATAATAATAACGCTTAGCGTGGTACGGCGTGGTCAAGTGGTAGAGCCTTAAACAGAGCAAGTCTTCAGTTCGAACCTAGGGTTTGAATCAGTAGAACGTTACAGATTTCCCCCCCCCCTTCCCAGAGCTGCTTGACCTGCGTCGCGTGATGTAGTACTGCTGCGTTTTGTGCTGGTCGAGCCATTAATCCGTATACATCCGTATACCCTTTAAATACATATGAAATCTACTTCATCTACCATATGAACCGTCAGATCTGAAGATTGTTTAACATTTGTTTTAGCGATTTTTTTTTAAACTTAATTAAGACTACCAAAATAAACAAAAATTTAAGAAAAAAAAACTTATTATGAACTATTTATTCGTTTTGTTTGGAATGCTGTTTCTCAAATCTCGTTTTTTTTACCTCGCTATTGTCTATTAATTTACGAGCTGTACACAATTTTTATTGCAATTATTTCAAGTAAATAATGTATTAACATAGAATCTTAAGTGTGCTTTTAGATTGGTTCATTTTTATTTACAACTTAAAAGTTTAAAAAATTCTCTATTGTGAAATAAGCACTTCATCGATTTCTATATATAATCACAAACGGAAATAAAAAATTATTATATTTAGTTATTTAAGAAATATGAAGCAAAATTAGATGCAGATAATTAAAAACAATCTATAATTATTTAATTGCTTTAGCGCAAAATGAATTGAAAACTAATTATAATTTTTTCCTCATTTGTAAACATAAGACGCCTAGCGTCGTAAGCTAATTTTAACGGATGTAGTGAGTGATTAGATGTTTAGATTACCAGTAATTGATGAGAAATCCGCTCTATCACGGATTAATTATTCTGTACCTTTTAATTTTTTTAAGCTATTTAAAAAAATTCAATTTGGGTTTAAATGGGAATTTTTTTATCTTTCTATAAAACCGTGTTTTTAGTTAAGCTTGTTTTTTTTTTAAACAGAGTCGATTGTTTCAAATATACCATATACTTCGCGGCCACTCGTAAAGGTAATCTTCAGCCAAAAATATGTACATCACTTAGCGTCAATTAAGTTTGATGTCCACACAATGTTTGAAATTTAGAACCTCCCCCCCCCCCCTCCCCTCTAATCTTAATAAAATGAATAGTCAAGTCAAAGCGTATTTCAAACATACTATTGTTTGCGTATATCGCAATGTTAAACATACTAGTTCAATAACACACGTTTTGTTTGCGTATATCGCAATGTTAAACATACTTGTTCAATAACTCACGTTTTGTTTGGGTATATCGCAATGTTAAACATACTTGTTCAATAACACACGTTTTGTTTGCGTATATCGCAATGTTAAACATACTTGTTCAATAACTCACGTTTTGTTTGGGTATATCGCAACGTTAATAATCTATTTGGCGACTTATATTATCGGAAATGTCTGATGACAAATGCATGTAGTGAAAGTCAATTCTGGAACGAGTTTCTAAAAATTGTGTTTAGTATAGTCTTTATGGGTACAAGTTAGTAAGTCTTAAAGATAATTAGGCCTACTTGATTTATTCAATGTTTTTTTTTTATTTCAACCAAACACTGACTAGGTTATTAAACTTTTACGTTTTAATTATAAAAAGGAAAGTTTTAAATAATTGTTTTCTAGGTTGGACTTAGGATAGCAAATTATAGGATTGCATCTGGTTCTTTATCCCTGTTTCTATTTCGCACATTACTTCCGCCTAAAGCAGAATTACGAATGTTTAAAATTTACTTTATTATCTGCTATTATTTTTTTTATTTTTTTTTTTAAATTTAATCAACTAATTGACCACCTACACTGTAATTTAAATGTGTATAATTAGAAAGTACATTACATGTTTTATGTTTGTTGAGCAAGTATTATGATTTCAAATCTGAAAATTGACGCCCTTATTAACCGACAAACTCCTCACCAAACACACAACTCCAGTCGGTATCATATTCTAAATCAAAATAGACAAAAGGAAATGTGTTTAGCTGTTTATGTGATAAAACTGTTGTTTGTTTAGTTCTGTGCTACTGAAATTTCGAGGTTGAATAGAGGTTAAGCAGGGGTAGGCACGGTTGGGTCGATAAAGCTCATGGTTGCTAAATCGAAAAGTCACGAGTTCGAACCCCGCGGCAGTTAAAGGTAGAGAGCTGGGGGCAGCAACCCTCCTTGGAAATAAAACTCAAAATCAAACAACTGCTGCCTTGTAGTTTGTTCTTGGGCTGACAAAGGCTATGGAAGTAAATCCAGAAAGAAAAGAAGGCTGAAATCGGAGTTAACGCCCTATATGGCGCATAACATGTTGACATGTAATGCTTAATTGTGTTGAAGAGAATCCTGTCCAACATTACAATTAAAAACAAAGAAGTAGAAGAAGTTAACCACCCCTATGTCAGGTGGTTAAATATAGACCCACGTCATAGGTTTGCGTGCACATGGTTTTATAGGCAAACAGGAAATGTTCGGAGATAAACAGGTTGGGGATAGGTTGGTGAACTGGTTAGTTTACTGGTTGTCCTGGTTGGCTAACTGGATGTCTGGTGGTTAACGAGGTGTGACGGTTAGCAAACTGGTTTTCTAATAGTTTACGGGTTGTCCTTGATGGGTAACGATTATATTCCTGTTTGGTTGTATTTTAAATTCCTGGTTGGCTAACTGGTTGTCTACCTGGTTGGCTAACTGGTTGTATTCTTGGTTGGCTAACTGGTTGCATTCCTGGTTGGCTAACTGGTTGTCTACCTGGTTGGCTAACTGGTTGTATACCTGGTTGGCTAACTGGTTGTATTCCCAATTCCTGGTTGGCTAACTGGTTGCATTCCTGGTTGGCTAACTGGTTGTATATCTGGTTGGCTAACTGGTTGTCTACCTGGTTGGCTAACTGGTTGAATTCCTGGTTGGCTAAGTGGTTGTATTCCTAGTTGGCTAACTGGTTGTATACCTGGTTGGCTAACTGGTTGTATACCTGGTTTGCTAAACTGGTTGTATATCTGGTTGGCTAACTGGTTGTATATCTGGTTGGCTAACTGGTTGTATACCTGGTTGGCTATTGTGTTGTTCTAGTTGACTTACTGCTTGCTCTATTGATTAAAAAAATACATAACTAATTAATGTAATTAACATAAAGCGTATAGCAATGTAGACTGCGTTTCCAGACTGTTCTGTTTATTTTTATTCGCCACATCACATCATCGTTAAAATAAAACCAACGATTGATTGGTGGATATAAATAGCCTCCCTCCGCCTTTTAGAAAACCCTACACCATTTTGTGATCTGGGTTTTCAATATAAGCAGAGCTGACAAAGAGGTGGGAGTTGGGAGGGGGAGTATCAATATAAACACTGTGCCTGTCATTTTAAATCAGTAGATTACGTGTACTGACCTATAGACCTTCCTACGCGAGCGTACAACAGATAATCATCTCGTTTACATGCGCCTTCTGTTGTAGTTACTAATTCAGGAAAAACGACGAGCAACAGCTGTAAACTATTATATTCTTCATTAAGTATAGCAGAAATGTTAAGGCTATCATATATATATATATATATATATATATATATATATATATATATATATACTTTTTTTTTCGTTGACCTAAATGCACTGTACGTTCCCATATTTTTTTTTTATATAGTAAGAGAAACGAACATAAGGGAAGTAACCTAGAGAAAGAAAAAGGGAAGCTAATCAATACGTTGAGACATACCAGTTTACATTCACAATGTGTCAGAATGCTCAGAGTAAAGCGCAGGCCAGTAAGGTTAGTCTATATGTTATGTTAATTTCTGATTGATAATTATGTTAATTTTTTATCAAAACTAACTACCTATTTTTTCTTAATTATACTAATCGTTTGTTAAAACTTTCTTTTTCTCATGGAATTACTACATTCAAAAAAACTCGCAACTCACTGTAGTCATTCGGTTTCCAAATGTGATGACTTTAAAATTGTATTTCTTTTTCTCAAACATGAAGTATGTGCATCCATCCTTATGAAGGTTACTTGTTAACTATTAAAACTTATTTTAAAAAAAACATTTTTACACATAACTTAATTAATTCATTTAATTTTGCGCATGCAAATTACCACTTCGTAGTGTGCTGACTCTTATCTTGCTTTAATTTTATGAACTATAAAATCTTTTTGTCTGCTAAATCATTAATGTGCCATGTCATTTACATCGAATGTTTTGAAACAAAAATAGATACACGAATTTAAAAACGAATAGGAAACTATTTAAACAAAGTATACTTGACGTAATTGGTATAATTAGCGTTAAGTATGAATAGAAAACTGAAAACAATTTTTTTGAAGATTTATTCTTTGTAATACTGGCAGGACAATGTTAAAGTATCGGTATCGTATCGAACAAAAATGTGAAGGTATCGTTAACAGAGTTAGTGTTCAGGATCGATTTCGTCAAAGTGAAGACCACAATTATAAAGAATGTAATGGGCATCTATAGGGCCGGCATAGAGCTACGGTTAGGGTTGCCATACAAACCCAAAAATATTCTATTTCAGCATTCTCTTAATTAAATAAACTTTGATAATCATAATTAGTTATGTTCCTTTTCGAACCTGACAGCCCGTATGACAGGTGAAGTAGAGTTCACCTGTGGTCAGCACTATGCCCAGGAGCCTTTACTTTCCCAACTTAAGTCAGGTACCTACAGAGGCGTAGCGATGGGGGGGGGGGCGTATGTCATTAGGGGGCGCCTAAATGGGTTGGAAAAAGTAATCGAAAGTTTGAGGGGGGAGGTGCAAATCAAAAGTTTGGGGGGGGGTGCAAATCGAAAGTTTGTCCCCGGGTAGGGTCGCTACGCCTCTGGGTACCTCTCAGAGTTGGGTTGATCTAAATTATAATATCGTGATCTATAAATGGATTTCAAACAACTCAAACCCATTAATTCCGTTTAAATCCCCAACGCGGGTTGACGTTCAACCACACCACCATTGTACAAACGTCATACCTTTATGTAGGGCTTAACTTTACGCGCCGCTGGGTATGCGGATGTCGCTGATCGAGGTTGGCTGTGCTGTGGTGTCGACTGGCACGTCGATCACCACCAGCTGGGGGTTGAACGGCCTGGTACGGACGGGGTAATTTTTATTCGCAGTCACGGAAGTCATTGGGCTATTTTTAGATGGGACAAATTAACATGGGTTAATTAAATGTTGCCAGCGCTAATTTTGAAAGACACTGGAGTACTAAAAACAGAATTATAGGCATATATATATATATATATATATATATATATATATATATATATATATATATATATATATTTGTATTTATATATATATATATACATATATATATATATATATATATATATATATATATATATATATATATATATATATATATATATATATATATATATGAAAAAGATTGAGAACCACAGTCCTAAGTGTGCTATTGACAAGCATGCACGGTTAATTGACGTTTTTCAATGAAAATGTTCAGGACTTCAACAGTCAAAGCGTCAGGTCTAGCGACACAAACACAGGGGCCAAAATCTTTCTTCCGTGTCTTGATACACGTGGCAATCGTTGATACACGTGGCAATCGTCGAACAGCTTTTATATATATATATATATATATATATATATATATATATATATATATATATATATATATATATATATATACAGTATTGATACAAGTGGCAATCGTCTTATCGCTTATATATATATATATATATATATATATATATATATATATATATATATATATATATATATATATATATATATATATATATATATATATATATATATATATATATATATGTATATATATTTATTTATATATATATATATATATATATATATATATATATATATATATATATATATATATATATATATATATATATATATATAATAGTGGTTTTTTTCTTCAAGATGTAGTAACTATGTGTTGAAAATTATTAATTATTAATTCTTTCCTGGACTATTTTTTTTCAATCTCGGTGTTAAAAAAACCTCACTTGCCAAATATAACAAAAAATAACTCGCTACAGCTTTAAATGATCAAGACCTATAGTGTTTTTAAGAGTGTTGAATAAGTAACACTTACCAGAAAGATAATTACTTTTCTAACATATTGTATCCTCGATTTAATTACTTTGCCGATAATGAATTCAACCGTTTTAATTACATACAATAGTCATGCTCAAAAGTATTCAGACAAACCCGGAAGTTTAAGCCGAAAGATAATTTCTTGAATTGTACATTGTATAATAGACATAATTTCTCATTAGCTTACTGGGATACACAAAGTTTCTCTTATTAATTAATTACATTTGTCCATATTAATTTAATCTATCTATCCATTACTGAGGTTGTACACTCCATTGAGGGATTCCAATGGCGTAGACCCCTGGATATATATATAAAGTATGAGGCGGGGTGCAAATCGAAAGTTTGAGGGGGGTGCACATCAAAAGTCTGAGGTGGGGGGTGCAAATCGAAACCTTGTCCCCGGGTAAAAATTGGAACCCCCCCCCCCCCCATTTGAGACGATCCTGGCTACGCCACAGAGGGATTCGACCTTCACCTCCTTCATACCGACCTGTCCTCTGTTCTTCTATATCGGGTGACCAAGCATACCGTAGGCCTGAAATATTAACCAAACATAAAATCTACGAATACCTTTATAATAAAACCTAAACTGTAATTATTATTAAGCATGTTGATAATTTTTTTAATATTTATATTGCGAATAAGACTACATCAGAACAATATGTGTGTGTGTGTGTGTGTGTGTGTGTGTGTGTGTGTGTGTGTGTGTGTGTGTGTGTGTGTGTGTGTGTGTGTGTGTGTGTGTGTGTGTGTGTGTGTGTGTGTGTGTGTGTGTGTGTGTGTGTGTGTGTGTGTGTGTGTGTGTGTGTGTGTGTGTGTGTGTGTGTGTGTGTGTGTGTGTGTGTGTGTGTGTGTGTGTGTGTGTGTGTGTGTGTGTGTGTGTGTGTGTGTGTGTGTGTGTGTGTGTGTGTGTGTGTGTGTGTGTGTGTGTGTCTGTGTCTGTGTCTGTGTCTGTGTCTGTGTGTGTGTGTGTGTGTGTGTGTGTGTGTGTGTGTGTGTGTGTGTGTGTGTGTGTGTGTGTGTGTGTGTGTGTGTGTGTGTGTGTGTGTGTGTGTGTGTGATCTGAATTTAGGGGTTCGTCAATACTTAACATCACATGCTTAAGGTGTAGAAGGAAGGAATTAATACATTGTGTTCGATGGAATTTATTGACAACCCCTTAGTATACCTACATACATTATTATAACACAGGTTATAAAGCTTCTTAGTTTTTGTTTTAATTAACTAATTTTACTAGCTTGTGGGCCCGTTCTACCTCACGGGAAATGAGCTCAAAACCATAAGTTTGTTAAAAACGAAGTCTGCATAGCTCTTAGGACCGTCTGCTCAAATGTCGAAGTGTTTAATTAGGAATCGAAAGAAAAATACATTTATTTGACCGGTCGTCTGCGCTAACATCCACCCCCCCCCCCTCTCCCATGAATCATCATTAGGTCTACCGTACTGATCATTCGAGCACTAAACGAAAGTATACCAATTAGTGAAGTACAAAAGTGTAACACTGAGTGAAATACGAAAGTATAACAATGAGTGAAATGCAAAAGTATAAAAATGTGTTAAATACGACAGTATAACAATTTTGTTTTAAATACGACTGTGTACCAATGCGTGAAATACAAAAGTATACCGTCACGTGAAATACGAAAGTATAACAATGAGTGAAATACGAAAGTAAGGAAGTAAATATACACTGCCTGGTGCTGTATAGTATCATGTGAAATTTTATGTAGTTTAAACTAAATTATACCCGCCGGTAGTATTCTCTTTCACCACCAACTCACGCTCCTCCATATTTTCTGTCAGTGTTGTCCTAGGTCCCAGGAAGTTAAAAATAAATGCCCCGTCACACGTGTTCAATAACCCCTCCCAACAACCCCTCGCACTCGTCACATTTGATCACAAGTCACCCCCCCCCCCCCCCCCGATCCCACCTCCCCATCGTATGTGACGTCATGTACAAGCACCCCCACCCTCCCCCTTTGGCCAAAAGTAATCAACATTATGTTGACAACCGGCCTAGATGTAAACAGTGGCCATGTGCCAACCACAAGCGCCACCTCTCGGCGTACTGATTTCTCTATACAAATCGGGAATACCGCATAGACGTGCAGTTTAGCAGGGACAAACTATATAATACACAAAGCCGGACGCAGTATTAAACATTATGGGGTTATTATCTGTTATTGTTTTGTTGTTGTTGTTGTTTGCGGGGGGGGGGGGGGGTTGTATCACTAAATAAATAAGGATATAAGCATAAATGTGTGTAATGCTGGGGAAGATTTATCTTCACGTAAACGTGTTTGTCGGTAGGATAAATTTGATCATAGGCAAAATAAAATGTGGTTGATTGTAGCATACATTCGGATCGAAGTAGAATTAATGCGTTTGAATGTAGCATTAATGTTTTGTGGGTAGCTTACATTCCTATCGAGGTGTCATTAATGCGTTTTGATTGTAGTATACTGTCGTATAGAGGTATCATTAATGTGTTTGGTGGTAGCATACATTCGTGTTAAGGTAGCATTTGTGTCTTTGGGGTAGCATACATGTGTATCGAGGTAGCATGCATGTGTTTGGTGGTAGCATACATTCGTTTTAAGGTAGCAGTGGCGTAGGCAAGGGGGGTTAGGGGGATTAGAACCCCTCCCATGGACTCACATCCCTATATAT